AAAAAAAAGGCATACATATAACATACCAGATCAGGGTTCATGTCGAATTTCAGCTCAAAGCTGCGTACATATACTATAGCATTGTGCAGGCCAGTGAAAGACTCCATCTCCTCCGAGCTGAAGAAACATTGAACAAAACTCTGACAATCACGTTTGAGTTTGATTTAATTACCATCATTACACTAAACTAAAAGTAGTGCCTGTTGTTCTCTAAAATTCACTCATGCAAGTGCAAAATTCAAGGCAACGGTTGCTTCAATGCAGAAGATCACAGCCCTTGTAACAGCTAGATTATACTTCTTGTTATTTCAGCGTGATTTTGACTGGGCCCGAGTCCGACTAATCAGAAGAGTTCGATACAAACAGGGGCTCAGGTGTGTAGTGAGTGGTGTGTCACAACAGAGGTTTAATCGGCCCTCACTCCTGCAGACGCTCCCATGCGGCGTCGCTCAGCACTGCGGGAATGACAGCGCTCCCGTCGGACATGAACAGCATACAGGCATCTGTGTGCTCCGTCCGCTGCGAGTCTGAGATATCACACACCTAACAAACACACACCCGCACTTTAGTACTCACACGACACTCTACAGAGATGATCACACATATACGACTACTTACGCCGACAACGTTTGCTTTCACAGTCGTTTCACACTGGCTTTGGCCGTAGTTTTGGATGAGTTTCTCGATCCACGGCTGCAGCTCAGCCATTCGGCGACGTTTAATCTTTGGTGGATTCATGGTGTGTATCTGCTACTGTCCACTTGTGTACATACCATAAACGAGTTTATCAAAGCGTTAAAGTCTTCGCGCCTACTTATTGAACATTGATGCTATATTTTCGTTCCGTGTAGAAAAATACACCTGGCGATTTGAGTTCCGCTACAGTCATATACATTTGAATCGTTGGTGCCCCCTTGCGGTAACAATAATCATAAATAACAAAGATAAGTACATTTTGGGGTACTGTTGTTTATTTTCAGTAATGTACAATACAACTTATGAAAAAGAAAAATACGAAAAATAATTCCCTTTATAACATGAACATGTCCTTTTCCACAAACAAAACATTTACTTCCACCGATGGCATGTAATGTAATGGTTGTATCAAGACGAGGAAGAAATGATTTGTCGTTTAAAAAAAAAAAAAAAAAGTTAAGTAGAGTCACCCTTACAACTAAACAATGTTTTAAACATTTTATTTAAAAAATTCTAATACATCACAGTGATTAAAACTCAACCTATGAGAGAAAACATGCAAATTCTGCACAGCAATATCATTGTAAAAACGGCAATAAAAGTTGATTTTAAAAACATAAGAGCTTTCTTAAACATTCCATAAAACAATTAAATCCACATTCCACACCTGCTAACTCTTGTGATTATGGTTTCACCTGTAAATAAAACAAACAAACAAGTGAGACTGAGATTTACATGCTGTGAATGCTTCACATGCTGTTGTCACGATCATGAATGCAGGTTGCCTACTTAAAGGTTGCACATGAACAATATATTTTTTACAGCTACCTTGTTAGCTGTTGCAGTTTTGCATTAAATACATGAGGACACTGGAGGACTATGTTACCTAGTCTTGCTGGCCATAAAGCCCTTGAAAGTGATACTCATAAATACGTCCTCAAAATTGGAAAGAAGGATCTTCCAAACAACATGTAAAGGCATCATAATATGCAGACAGTATATAGGAATAGTCGTTTAAATATAGGAATATGTGTTACCTGCAGATTCAGTGATTCATTCAGACTCCCACCCATCTTCTGTAAGCTCTCGTGAAGCCCAGCTTTCAGAAGTGTGTAATCTGGTTTTTCAGTATACTGCAGGCTCATCACGTTAGTCAGGTAATCTTGTAATGCTCCTTAAATTAAAAAAAAAATTAAAAATTATATATATATATATATA